CAAGCAACAATGTACAACAAAACAGCAACAACATCAAGCCACTGACAAAGAACAAATTAAAATATACCAAGAAAGAAAAGCTTGTGTTTTCCAGTCTAGGCTGTTGGGGCACCATGCCCTGTCTCCAATGTCCAATTTTTTAATGAGGGAACTGATATTACCCAAGGTCATCCAGTAATTAAATAGTAGAATCAGAATTAGAACCCAGATATGATTTTAGAAGTTGTACACTCATTAGTACGGTATAATGTTTTATACAGCCAACTAAGCACTGTTCCTAAACTCAAGTTGGGATAAATGCACACTACAAGAGGCAGCAAATACAGAATACAACGGATGTTCAGAAAAGCACCAGAAGTTCTGAGTAGGTAGCGCTGAGTATGTGCACACCAGAATCCTAAGTCCGAAAAAGACATGCTACAGGGCCTTTGGGATTGCCTCAAATGCCTGTAGGCATAAGTAAGTTTGAATCCCAGAAAAGTTAAATTATGAAACTCATACATTCAGCAATTGCATATAAACAATCAGGCTTTGAACCCAGGCCTAATTGGAAACGCACTGTGGGTAGACACCAAAGCCACATCCCACCCTTCAAGGCACCTTTAGGGTCTGCTTCAGCTCCAAAGGGAAGCCTGGCAGATTATACTGCTCCAAGGACAAGGTACATACCAAGACTGAGTGAGTTAGGGAGCAGAGGTCCGGATATTTCCCACTTCAACCCAAGACAAGACATGAAGGGTCAACATTGGCTTTAGAATCCCTACCAGGACTCTCCTTCTGCCCAATCCTACTTCTTCCCCTTTCATTTCACCCAAGGTGATCGCTAATAAAACATCGTACACATCCTAACCATCTTAGCATCAATTCCTAGAAAATCTAACTTTGCTCTACAGAAGAATTAGCTCTAACTTTATTATGAAGGCTTAAAGACATGGGCTGCAGCTTGTACATGCAGCTAACAGAAATTCAAAAAGCAATAGAGATTAAAAGGTAGAAGTATGGTTATTTTGAAAAGACGAGTGAGAATGATCAACGCATGAACTTTCCCTACTCAGAGTCTCAGGCATTAAATGGTCAAAGGCTCTAGTTGAGCTGGGGGCATGATCTGTGGCGGTGCTAAGGTTTATCTGCAGGGCCCAGCTTATACTTCATGTTCTTGTAACCAGATCACCGACTGTCCAATCTAAGAAAGGGCCACACCTGGACAATCCGATACACCAGCCTTCTCCACTGCCATGCGTGCCCCTTACCCAAAGGTGATCACATTCCTTGGCACTTTCATTTATCAATACTTAACATGATTTTTTTAAGTCTGCAGGAAGATGAGCTACACATAAAAACCACCAGCCTTGAAGGACACCTGCTCACCATACAGGTAGAGAGCACAGTGTTCCTGTCACAGGACAGATGTGGAATGACTGAAGCCTTCATGTCTAATGAACTGAAAAGTTGGCCTCAGTTGAAAAGCATACAATTTGGAAAAGTGAAAGAGGAGGCAATTTTTAAACAACAAAAGCATGAAAAATACTGTTGTCACTCAGAAGCCTCAGCCTCCTCCGACTGCTAGGTCCCCTTCTCCTTTCACACTCTTCAACCCCTTGTTACTGTCAGCTGATTCCACTCATGACGACCTCGTGGTTTCAGAGTTGAACTGTTTCACAGGGGTTTCAAGGTTGTGGCCTTTTGGTTTTTTGAGATCATATCACTTTGAGTAGTCTCTGGAGAGACTAAGGGGTGGGGACAAAGGTCCATTAACTGTGGACCAGCTACGTATTTCAGACTTGGAGCTACTGAACGCTAGGTGAAAGTGGCTCCTTGAAAGCACCTGCTTATGAAGGTGCCCGAGTGGACTCAAACTGCTACTCGCCAAGTGCTTCATCACTTGTACCACCTGGGAACTCTTCAATCTCTTTACAACAGCGGTGCTCAACCGGGGGGTGGGGGTGGGGGCCGAATGACCTTTTCACAGGGGTTGCCCGATTCATAACAGTAGCAAAATGACAGTTATGAAGTAGCAATGAAAATAATTTTATGGTTGGGTCACCACCACATGAGGAGGAACTGTGTTAAAGGTTCGAGGCATTAGGAAAGTTGAGAACCACTGCCTTAGAAAATATTTAATACATACTTGGTATATCTTCAAATCCATCCCAGAAGTCTCCTACTGTGGCTCCTGTGATGATTTCATTGGTCCTACAATTAACTAGGTCAACTTCCTGATCACCAAACTCCTTCCGGAAGGATTCGGGTTTCCAGAGTTCAGTGTTCAACTTATGATGCACTCCAGATACCATCACCGGCTAAAGAAGAAAACGCAGATGTTAGTGTTAAGTAGTCTATCCCGATCCCTCACACCCTTCTACAAATAGCTGGTTTGCTTCTGGGTAGATTTGTCTTGTCCTCTCTCGATTTTCACATTGACTGCTTTCTTGCTCTTCTGCCACACAGTGTTCTCATACTGGATCAGTAAGTTTTTGGGGTCAAAGATCAAATCTTATACTCAGGGGCAGGCAGAAAATGTGGAGAGCCACAGGACAGGCAGAAAGGTTTTATACAAACAAGTTCCCACTGCCCTCTAGGTTGCTGCTGCCAGCCAGGAACATGGAGCTAAACTTGTCAAGTCTTTGGGTTATCCAAGACATGCCCAAAGTTGCAATTCTATGAGTTCGATCATTTTGTACTTAAAATTTGGTATTCAGTATTTTTATTTTTGGTAGGAAAAAAACTTATCAAAACACTTATTTCAACCATTTGTGCGCACAATTCCGTGACATTGTTTCCACTGTTATACAATGTCACTACTATCTACTCCCAAATTGTTTTTATCACTCTTAAACTCCATATCCCTAAAGCAGTCTCTCCACTTCCTTCTTCTATCTGACCCTGGTAATAACTAGTCTAAGTTGGTTACTATTAATTTACTTACTCTAAATATTTCACACAAGTTGGATCGGCCAATTTTTGCCCTTTTGTGTCTGACTTCTTTCATTCAGCATATTTTCAAGGCTCATTTATGTTGCAGCAAGTATCAGAAGCTCACTTCTCTTTAAGGCTGAGTATTTCATTGTCATTCATCTGTGGGTGGATGCGTGGAATGCTCCCCCTTTAGTTACTGTGAGGAGAGCTGTATGTGAGTATCTGAGTGTTGAGCATCTCTGTGTGAGAGCAGACTTCCGGTTGACATCATGGTCCTGTTTCACTTTTTGAGGAGCCACCAGTGTCTTCTACAATGGCACTCCGTTTCACAACCCCACCAGCAATGGGTTGGGGGTCAGAGTTCTCCATAAATTATTTTCTATTTTTCTGATAATGGTCATCCTAATGAGGGTACAGTGGTATCCCACTGTGGTTCTGAATGCATTTCCCTAATGACTAATGATGTTGAATTCTTTTCCTTGTGTGTATTGGTCATTTGTCTACTCAAGTTCTTTGGCCATATTTCGACTGAGTTGTCATTTGTTTATGTTGTAGGAATTCTTTATGTTCTGCATATAAAACCCATATCAGATATATATTCTCTTAAATATTTTTTCCCATTCTGTACACTGTCCCTTCACTTTGTTGATAAAATCCTTTGGTGCAAAAAATATTTGTTTTGTTGAAATCCAACTTGACTATTTTGTCTTTGTTGCTTGTGTTTTTGGTGTTTTATCTAAGAACACACAATTGAAATAGAAATCCCAAAGAAGCATTACTCCCATGTTTTGTTTACAGTTTCCTGGTTTTAGTTCTTACATGGAGGTCTTTGATTCATTTTTAATTTTGGTATATGGTCCAATCCAGTTACTCTAGCAGCATTAATTGATGAAACTACTCTTTCCCTATTGGAGTGACTTAGCTCCCTTGCCACAAATCTATGGCCAATCAGTACAGCACACGTTTAATTACTGAAGCTTGGTACTAAGTTTTAAGTCAGGAAATATTTAAACTTATGGGAGAGGGAAGCATAATTTTTACATTTAATTCTTCAAATTCTATAAGCTTCTTAATCATACTTCCAATTCGCCTTGCTGTGGTTTACTAGATAAGAAATCATTAAGCCTAGAATACTCTCATTAGCAATCCCAAGATAACTGGTCAGAAGCAACCAAAACTCAATGGGAAAAGAAAGTTCAAAAACAATAATGATTTAAGACGCACAGCCATACTCTACCCTAATTATACTCATCCTAAACAACCAACTGCAAACAAACAAGGTAATGGCATTTATTACTGGGTGGTGGGGGGTGGCGAAGTTGGGGGTGAAGTTGTCAATGGGGGGGAGGGGGACACGACAGCTAGGGGATCTGTATCAGTTGGGGGAGCTGAGGCCCACATTACCTGCCCTTGTTTCCAGCACTCTCTAAACACATTCCAGTTGCTCTTATTGTTGGGATCTTGCAAGCACAGCAAGCGATTATCACACAGCCAGTAGTGAGGCGTGTCAAAACCCAGAATGCTGGGCTTGATCGTCAGTCCTTGAGGCTTCTTAGATATATCGGAGGAAGTCTTATTTTGCACTAAGGAAGCAAAGATGTCATCGAGAATTTTTGGTGTATTCTTGAGTCCATTTTCTGTCTGAATTTCAGAAAGAAAACAAGTTTTTAAACATGTCACTCCAGAGTATCAACACCCTCACAGACCTGTATAAATCTAAGTATATACATTATATCTGCTAAAGAGTCTGAGCCAAGACTTCAGGCAAAGAGGCAAGTCCTCTCTTCCTACTCCCAAAAGTAGGTACAAGAAAAAGTCTAAAAGAAAATAACCCTGGGGTACCCACCTGTCACTTACATGACCTTCAGTACCCACATGAAAAAGCAAGTGATTCATAGCCTTAGTCCTATTTCTGATTTCCATTTTCTCTAATCTCATTGTTTTGCCTCTATTCAGCTTTCTACGATAGAGTAGAAACAAGTACATGATCACCTACCTTTCCTGTTGAGGAATTCAAAAGATTTCGGAGAAAACCAGAATTATTGTTGCTTACAGGTGTCAAAATTGTGTTGTTAAAGGTATGCAGGACTGTGCTGGATTTACTCAAAAGGGGGAGAGGTGGAAGGCATTTGATCTCATTCTTTAAAGTTGGCATTGCCAGTTGTTTTTCTAAAAACGAAACCAGAAACATAGATGAAAAAAGCATTCTGAAAGGAAAATCGTTCCTTAGTCTTCTGCTAGCAGAATTACTCTAGAACTGTGGTCTTCATTTTACTGGTGCCCACAAAGTGAAGGAGATAAACATTCATGCCACTATTGATCTAGACGGGGATTACCATTTGGTGTTAAAACAACCAGAGTCAAATTCCAAATCTCATTTTCTATTTGCTGTTTCTGGCACAAAGCCATCATTTTTAAAAGCAGACCTAGTTATTTCACAACCATGCTAAGACTTATTCATTAAGTGCAGGCTCTTAGACTCGTTTTACATAGGTAATCAGATTATCTGCAAATATTGATAGCTTTATTACCTCCTTTCCAATCAATCCTATGCTTTAAAAAAGAATTAACTCACTCTGACATTCAGTAAAAAGATCACTTGAAGATCAAGTGTCCTTTGTCTCATTTCTGAATGGAGAGAAAGGATTAAAAAATATATATGAACCATTAACACAACTGTTATCTCATCATCAGGTTTTTGGTAGAAAGTCTTTAGATTAAGAAAGTTTCATTCTAATCTTAATTTGCTAATAATAGGTTGTTTTGTTTTTCCCTCCACCCCATAAATAGGTGTTGTATTTTATCCCTTTCCTGCATCTCATCAAATAATGTGATTTTTCTACTTTTTGAATGTTAAACTGGAGATGTAATGTCTGGGAAAAATTCTCTTGACTAAGTTGGATAATTGCTTTATTTAGTGTCAAAGTTAATTCACTAAAATTTTAATTAGGATCTTTGCATAAGAGAAATAGGCTTCCTCCCCTCTAGAGGGCTGCACTGGTGCAGCCTCCAGAATGACGCCCAGGAACCACTTCCCACTGCACATGACACCGAATCTCTCTGCTCTCACAGCAACGGAAGTTGCCCCTTGATCCTTGGATGAACCTACCCTTGTTTTCCTTGTTGACATTGCCGCTGGTCAGGTCAGCCAGCCAGTTTAATGGAGATGTGCTGGCAGGACAGGCAGGCCTGGTGCTGCTGGCTGGCTTGGGAGCTGCATCACTTCCCACAGCAGTGGGCTCTATCGCCAAGGGGTTCTGCTGGAGCACGGCACCAAGAGTAGGTTTTTCTCCAGCTAAGGAAGTCTGTGAAGTTGAAAGGGAGACTTTCTGCATGCACAAGAGAATGATATTTTCCTTTTATCTTCTTTCATTAACAGCCTAAGAAATCTCCAAAACAAAAACCACCCCATAGTCCTAGATATTACCACAGTTGCAGGAATTCTGAAATAATCTATCAGAACGACAGGTGGGAAAGCTTCTAATTTTCACCAACATAACACATGCTAAAAACTTAGAGAGCCAGATCATCGTCTTCCACCCTTTTATTACCAGTGATGTCACTGGACAAGACATACAGGGCCAAGGAAATGTCCAGTCTTTATGTTGGATAATGGATACATAAAAGTCCATTTCATCATTATTTCAATTCTTCACATAAATTATAGGCATGATGTATTTGCTAATTTAAATGGAAAAAATAAGACTGTATATGAACTAATATGTAGCACATGAATAATCTCTTCCCACAGACAAATGTTCCCATATTCCTTTCAAATATCCTATAGAAATCCTTAGGTTGTTTGAGGGGAAATAAGAATAATCACAAAAGCAGTAACTCTAGCTTAAAGTATAATACCTGTTTTATGTCTTCCTTTAAGGTCGGCTTTGAGAAGAGTTTAAATTGTCTGTTTGAACATGGACAATTTGCCTTTATTCCCCATTTTGCGCGTACACTATGAACAATGTCTCCAACATCATAGAGAGCTAGTGGGGGAAGAAAAGGCAGATGTAAGAGGCTGAACAAGGACATTAGGACCTTCCACGTCAACAATACAAAGCAGAAGCTGATCATCCAACAAGACTCCTTTTTTTTAACCCAATAGTGTAGGTCCCCCACCCCACCCCTATTTTTCATTCTGCTAAGGGCACTGGGTGGAGCCCTGGTGGTGTACTGATTGTCACCACAAGGTCAGCAGTTCGAAACTACTAGGAAACTCTTCAGGAGAATGACGAGGCTTGCTTCTCTAGTAAAGAGTTACTGGAAACCCACAGGGGCAGTCTTACGCTGGCCTATACAGTCACTATTGAGTTGGAATCAACTTGATAGCAATAAGTACGTTTTAGTAAATAGCAGCCTTTCTCCAACACTTTCGTTCCTGCCACCAAGCTATTTACAAGGCTGTCATTTTAAAGTTTTGGATTCAGTATTTAGCATTACTCTGGACAATTGATCACTCTTACCAAAATAAAGCCGGCAAGTAATTCGACTATGTACAGAAAAGCCCAAGTGCCAGCCCCTTGGGTAAAGCACAGACATTACCTTTTCCAGGAATGATCTGTGTTGGCATCAAGTTCTCTGGCTCATGTATCTGACTCTTCACACATCTTATCCATGAAAAAGTCTTGTAGGCAGCACCTGCAAAGAAGTGATGCGTAGTAACTGTTCCGCATGGATTCTTGCCCCTGTTGCTTCAGAAATCCTTCCATCACAGAGTAAAGAAAGGCATGTTTGTAAGAGGGTTGAAGGACAATCAAGTCAGTTCTCACCCTGTTGGCAATTTTTCTTCTTCATCCTGTAGCAATCCACACACACGCCAAACCCACACCGAGGGCAAACCCAATGCAGGTTGAAGATGGTTGTGTCACACACATCACACATTTCTCGAACGCCTTTGACAGCTCTCTTCCAAGCAACCTGTCCTGCAGAAATAAATAAATCACTTAGTCTGAGGGAGGGGAGGACTTCTGAACTAAAACATGAAGATTGGGGGGGGAGTTGATGTCATTTGTTCCTCCATCTGAGTTCCCATGAACTCTGTCTCTCTGTAGCCCCCAAAGCTGTCTCAAATGCCAGCTTTCCCATGAAGCTCCCTGGCTTCCCTCAACACACCCTTTGTACTGCCAACTGACCACTGCCTCTTCACACTGTTATTCCAGTCAGGTGCAGCTTTCTCGCCTTTGTGGAGCGTTAGCTTGATAAAAGCCGACTGTTCTAGCGGTGCCTCTGCCCCAAGGAGCTCTGCACACCCTGGTGCTTAGAACTGCTGACAACGTGATGGAAGACAGCAGCCGGGCTGTGCAGCTGTGCTGACGCATGGGCGCTCAGACACAGGCTAGCACAAGCAGTGGTTACGTGTTTTCTGGGTCACCAGCCCCTTTGAGAATCTCAGACAGCTACACCGGGCCTCTTCTAAAGGATAAAGAGAGTACGCAGAAGTACAAAGCCAAGATTCACTATAAAGCATTCAAGTTTTAAATCTGAACGTGATCCAAACGACCAGGCTTCAGTCTACACGAAACGAGGCCACTCACTGAGTGCCCTTCTGCCTGTCACTATCACGTGAAAGCTCAGCACACAAAAACAGAGATCTTTGGGTCTTCTGCAAGTGAAGGGATTTCATGAACTGCCTTCCCCAGGTCACCTGGAGGAGACTGCTTCACTGGAGCCTATTTTTAGCTCTCAGCCACATGTGTGCGTCATTAAAAAGAATAAAAGTATTAATGGTTGAAATCTACTTCCTAATTCACTCAGTGACTGTTTCTCTCCAATTTGACCACCATGTCACATTTAAACCTTTAGGGGAAAGGGTTGCCTAATTATGCTCAGAGAAGACAACTGCTTCTGCCATTTTCGGTATGAAAAAGTAGATACTAACCTATGATGAAGAAAAGACATTCCACGCATTAAACAGCCTTGCTAAGTCAGGAGTAAAGCTTCCAATATGTTCTAAAGGGCTGTGTACATTCCAATCATTTTTGCCCCACCACAGTTAACACGACTATGTTCCTCTAAATCTTCTTTTACTTACCTGTAACGAAATTTTGTATCTTATGGAAACTGGACATTATCATTTATCCAAAATAGGACATTATAGGGGAACAGCGTTAATAAGACCCTCGGACTTATAACAATCATCTTTATCCCTCACCAGAGTAGAAGGAGGTTGACGCTGCTCTGCTCTTCACCTGACTGGTTGTCACTAGAACTCACGATCCCAGGACACTCATGAACCTCTCCTACCAGGAACATCGGATTCCATTCCCTTGGATTTGGGGATATAACACTATCAATTTTTTCTTGGGGGGGGGGGGGTGTAATCAAAGCCAGCTTCGTGTAGTTTCTATTAACTACAACCAAAATCCCTAACTACAACTAGTATGTGTGAACTTAGTCATTGAAACATATGCAGTCATGCAACATCTACAAAGAAATCCACTAGAATCAGAGAAAGGCTTCACTTTGAACCATTTGGCAAAGATACAATGGTGGGAGAATAATGGTGTGGGTGTGGCGTCACTTGGAGGGTACAGGTGGCATGGACCCCATGGGGTGGGGGTGGGGGCACTGTCAAGAGGAGGTAGACACCAAAATGATTTCTTCTAAAATGTTGTGTAGTCTTTTGGCAGACATTTGTGGTTTTTCATAAAAATACCCCTGTAGCTAGTTGCAACATAAACATGTTTGGAAAGCCCAGTTTGCAGGCATTAACAGGTCTCTATGCTAAAACTCCACACGCGCTTCCTTTTGAGCACTTCTCTAGCAGTCAGAATGGAACAATGCACTCAGGCTGGAGCCCATTATGATCACCCAGCACAACTTTCTTTGCTGGAGAGGTTTTAATAATGGCTGACTTTGTCAAATCTATTGGTGTTTATTGTGACTAATAATGTTGTAATTCGAAGTAGAACCATTTCAGAAAACCATGTTATTAGCACTTACATGATTATGAAATAGTGCAATTAAGCAATTTACATTAAAATTGATCACACAGACATGGAAAAAAATAAAACTGGTAATAAACATGACTAAGGGTTCTGGATGGTCTGGCATAAGGAGCCACGGAGGTGTTGGTGACACCAACCCTAGACGCCGTCAGTCCACCAGTGCATATGTGGCTGTCTATCTCATTTCTACACAGCATGTGGTCATAGCAGAGTGTGATGTCCTTCCTTAAGACACACCTGGAGAGTTCATGGAGAGTATGCCAGCCACACTGGTCTTCGTAGTTTCTTGGGCCGCCAGCTCAGTGTGAGACACATGCACACACCCACCTGAAACCTCCAGGTATTTATTTGATTACTGGCCTGATACTCACATTCAGCTACCCTGAGGCCCAGCTCTGCAGGCTCTGGCTTAGAGCAGGGTGGATCCCGTTCTTTGCTGTTTTTTTTTAAATGTACATCTAGGACACAGCCTTTATTATCTTAGGGCAACCTGAGGCCTCATCCCTTTTTTGTGGGTCTGCTGCTGGTAGGGCTGTGCAAATTCCACCATCACCATCTCACCTACACCTTTCCTAACAAAAAAGGAGCTCTATCTCTATGCTAACTATCCACAAACACCACCACCCACCACACACACAGGGGGTCACTTCGGATGAAACCAAGGAGAAAGCAACCTCGTAATATACAAAAGGAAAAATGCAACTTCATTCTATCAAAACAATCCAAAATTCGGAGTGAAAACGAACCCCACACAAAGAGTTTGGCATCATTTAGGAACAAATCACAAGTTGGACTCAAAAATCCTACCCCCTAAGAGATGCTCTTACTATGTGGCTCAATGGTTGACATAGCTTCCTTTTCAGAAATCACCATTTGACAGAAGTGGTCTCCAATGTTGGCCAGGATATACTTTGCTGTGTCCAAATCTATCCCCACCACGTTTTTGTTTAAAGGCAACCATAAGCCAATTGCTTCAATGTCATACTTGTTTGGTGTTAAGAAGCCTTCTACCCGCAGCACACCGTGCTTGTTGAACTGTAACCTGAGAGAAGAGGAAAATACAAGTGTTTCATATGCATACACACACACAGTATTCTAACACACCATATATACTAGAGTACATTATACTCGAGTGTAAGTCGACCTGACTATCAGCCGAGGCACCCAATTTTACCACAAAAATGGCATTAAAAATATGCTGAAAAACTCAGCTTATACATGAGTATATATGGTACCTAAGACAGAATTCTTCTGAGAGGAAGAAGAACAGAACTAACTTTTACTGATTAACTTATTCTAGTCCAGGCATCATTTAAATACATATTAATATGTGTATTAACACACGCTAATAGTTATCAGAACGTGAGATGCTACACACACTTTATAGTGGGTGCCTTTGCAAATTATTTGGGAATGAGTATGTGAAAAACTCTACTTCACTAAGTAAGCTTAAATCTGAAGTTATTAGCAGTTATTACCATGTTTTTCTTTTTTAAAACCGTTTTCTTGGGGGGCTCTTACAAATTTTAAGACAATTCAATTGTACTAAGGACACTTGTACATTATGTTGATGTTGCCATTAGCATTTCCAAAACATTTTCTACTTGAGCCCTTAGTATCACAGCTCCTCTTTTTTCCCCTCCCTCCCCAACCCACTATAGTGTTTCTTAGCACTGTTTTATAATGTTCTTTGCTTAAAAATACTTGGAAAAGAGAATGAGATAGAAATAATATGCAATAACATCCAGATTTCTGATCCAGAGACCAAATGTAATCTCTCTACTCTTGTTAAGTTTTAGATTTACTGTTTATTGGCGGGAGTTTGCAGGGAGGGGGAGTATGGCACAGGTCGGCATTATCTGAGTGCCTCCCCATATACCTCACCTCCTGAAGTGAAAGAATCGACAAAACACAGGTGAGTCTTTCTGTGGTTCCTTATCCTTGCGGAGACTGTCCAGGCGACACTCTCGGCACTTGGGCAGTTGTGCAACAATATTCACACAGGAGTCATCCTGTACAAAGGCCTCGCCACTCTGTTGGAGCTTCTTGAGTTTGGCAGGGTCTGTCAAAACTGATTTCCGAGATGGGGCTGTGGGAAACAAAAGATCACCGCCATTTTTTGAAAATGTTCTTATCACAGCAATATCTGACTGGGTTCTATCCAAAAGGCTAGTATTCACAAAACAAGAACTCCTTTTCTTCACTTCTGATTCAGGTGCAATTCCTAAAAATAGGTTAGCAGAAGACAACTACCAGAATACGTGGAAAAGTTTTGCTTTCTCTACAAAAACAATTCTTATTTAGTGAATCCATTTGGCAACTTAAAATTTCAAATCTAACTCCCAATTTCAAGTTAGTGCATACTGCCATCGAGTCAATTCCGAATCACAGCAACCCTAAATGCCCCCACACAAACCAAGTCTACCGCTGAGTGGATGCTAACTCAAAAGGACTTTACAGGACCAAGTAGAATTAACTGGGTCTTAAGGTTTCTTTGCCCATAAATCTTTATGGGAAGAGGTAACATCTCTCTCCAGAGGAGCAGCTCAACTTTGGACCTGGGGGTTACTAACCCAAGGCATAAGCCAGTACCCCACCAGGTCCTTATTTACATTCTTAGTTAAGATAAACATCTTAGGGATGGTTTTCCCAAATCAAAATACTTAACTCAAAATCATAGTAAAATTATGAACAGATAATTTCACCTCAACAAACAGAGAACTGATTCTGCCACTTTCCATTCCAAAAAATAAAAAAAAAACAGGTTTAAGGTGTTTTTTAAAGTGTCTGCAAAGGCCAACTAAATAGCTTCAAACCAAAAGCCTGGTCTATAAAATAAAAGTTGTCTTCTAAATGCCTCCAAGAGATGTCCTTTGACTATGTCCCATTGGGTCTGGGAGCACTGGCTAAAGACAGGATTCTAGTTCTGGGAAAATTCATGTTTTTTTAAAAGTTTTAATTTACAACAGGCAGAAGAATTTAAGAAGAAAAGTTAACACTATTTCTACAAAGAGAGAGAAAAAGCATGCAATCAGAAAGAATGATCTTTTTGTCAATCCAAACAACACAGAAAATACTCCATTCATAAATGATGAGGTTTCAGGAATAGTTCATAGAAAACAGACAGATGGACACCTGTCCCTCCCCCCAGAAGAATAATTTATTTCAGAGAACAGCACTGAAGCAGCAGCTCTGGGAGAGGGACATGTCTGATCAGAGCACATGGGAGCAAATGAAGGGGGAGGAAGGGAGAGTGGAGTACATCCTGGCCCACCAAGCTTTGAGGACGATATTCCTGCTCAGACCAGCCAATCCACAGAGAAGACCATATGGTCGGCCCCACTATGATACATGACATCCTCACTGACCCACAGCCCTACAGAGGACAACACTGGAGACAGTGTGGGAACTGCGCCCAATCTGATCACACCACACCAAGGCAAAACACTAAGGGCGTGGAACAGCATGGGGAACAGAGCAACGAAGTCTCCAGGGAATACCAAAAACAGACTTTGGGGGCAGGGCTTGGCACCCCATCAGACACAACCGGAAAACACTGCTAAAGGCCAACAAACAGTCCTCGAACTAACTACAAGCTTTTATTTCTTGTTGTTTTGCTTTTGTTTTGTCACTGGCTTGTTTTGTTTTCTTTTGTTGCTTGATTTTGCTGTCTTGTTTTTGCGCACGCTGTTATCTCCCAAGGTCTGTCTAAATAAGATAGGCTGGATGAAAAATCTGGAGGAGATAACAACAGGACCAACTGGGGGGACATGAGAGAGGAGGAGATGGGGGGAAAGGAAGTGGTGTTAACGAACCCAGGGACAAGGGAACAACAAGTGATCCAAATCGGTGGTGAGGAGGGTGTAGGAGGCCTGGTAAGGCATGGCCAAGGGTAATGTAACCGAGAGGAATTATTACTGTAACCCAAATGAAGGCTGAGCATGATAGTGGGACAAAAGGAAAGTCAAAGGAAATAGAGGAAAGAGCTAGGAGGCAAAAGGCATACACAGAGGTCTAAATAAAGGCATGTACATATGTAAATATATTTTTATATGAGGATGTGGAAATAGACCTATGTGCAAGTATTTATAGGTTTAGTATTAAAGTAGCAGATGGACATTGGGCCTCCACTCAAGCACCCCCTCAAAGCAAGAATACTTTGTTCTGTTAAACTGGCATTTCATGATGCTCACCTTCCTGACACGGTCGCTGAAGACAAAGCAGGTGCATAAGCAAATGTGGTGAAGAAAGCTGATGGTGCCCGGCTATCAGAAGATCTAGCATCTAGGGTCTTAAGGCTTGAAGGTAAACAAGCAGCCATCTAGC